CTTACTGGAAACAAAATCCATCACCTGCCGCCACGGCCCCCCCAAACCCATGGAATCAGAAATGCAAGGTGGGGGGGGCAGCGATGTGTGGAGAAGCACATCAGTGTCAATCAGGCCAGCAGAGAGCCCACAGCTTGGTTATTTTAACGGCCTCAAGCAGCGACAAAGGTGTCCTGGCTACGTGCCCTTCCCCCACTCTGGCTAAACTATAGATCAACAGCTCTTCAGGGAAGACATGCTCCTCGCTGAGAACTGGAGCAGCTCCCAGCCCGGCAGGCGTTGCCGACGTGGAACTGTCGTGCCCAAGGGCACCAAGGAACCAACGCTTTGAGCACGGCCTTTTCCGACCTGCAGGACAGGGAGCGGAGTGACATCGCTGGCGTCCCTCCATGCACCAGCCACACCAGGACGTGGATGCTGCTGGCCAGGGGCACCTGCAGAAGGCTAGCACACATTCTGGTTCCCACAGAGGGAAAGTATTCTTCAACAGATAATTAGGAGCAAATAGTCTTGTTATTTTGACGGCACTGAAATTCTGAACAGTCACAGAATTACTCTGTTTTGCGGCAACTACTCCACGTACACGTCCTTAGCAACCTCCAGGCTAATGCCCTGGTCCCCCACACAGGCCCCTCCAATTCATGGCCTCCTCTCAGCCTGGATGATCCTTCCAAAACAGAAACCCGCCCCTTCCCATGGAAGACGACCAGTCAATGGCTCCTTCTGGCACTGAGCACCATGGCCTCCCCGAGCCCAGCAGGCCTGGCTTTCCACCCTCCCAGGAAGAGCCATTCCAGACAGGCCTGTCAGTCCCCAAATGTCAGACCCTCACGCACATCCACATGCCTTGCAGAACCATCTCCCCCCCACCGACGGTGAATGTTTCCCCACGAGCCTGCAGGGGCAGGTGCGATGCTGGCGCGCTGCCGCCACACGTCCGCCTCAGTCAGCCCGGCTGGGAGGGACCAGCGGCGTGAGCAGAAGCAGACGGCCCAGAGCGCCCGGGTGCAGCCTCCAGGCCGCCTGAGCGGACGCCACAGGAACAGGAGTTCTCGCTGTCTTGATTTCCTCAGACTCTTCTCTGAAGGACACTGAATGTCACATGGTGAGGGAGGCTGGTAAACACAGAGCGGGACACACAGGGTCACTCGGAAGGGGGACCTCTTGATGCTGTAGAAGCATCCACTCAGAAAACACATGGGCCCCTCCAGCACGTGCGCGGAGGAACGTGAGAGACCAGGAGCTGAACACCAGGGTTCATGGGCTGAGTAACTTTTTCCAAATTTAAACAACAGAAACAACTTAAATTTTCCTGGGTGCCATGGAGTTCTCAGACCACGGGCCCTTTCTTGGACATGTCTTCAGAGCCTCCCATGCCCAAGGGCTCAATTTGGTTCTGTTTGGACGTCTGCCCTCCAAGGGAGCCTGGACATGATTCACGCAGCAGCACTGCTACTGCTAACAGCTCTGGTCAATGTCAGGTCCATGAACAAAACCTTTACAACGCAGCCTGTCTACAGAGCATCTTGCCTTCGGCCACTTGGAGGACGTCGGCATGACAGCTGCGTCCATAAACTGGAAGAGCAAAGCCACCCAAACAAACAGAACCCAGAATATGTGTTCTAAATTATTCTAGGGACATACTCGATCACATGTAAATGAATTCAAAGTACACGGTCTACAGATTAAAAATTAAAAATATTCTTGGAAGAACATTTTAGGTCCCATGCTTTAAAAATAGTGCTTCTCGTCTAGAGTTTAAGGAACGACAGAACACACAGTGTGTCACAGCCGTGAGTGCGGAAGCCTGAGGATCCCGCACGGGAATGCCAGCTGCCCGCATGCAGGCGCCCTCTTTCCTGCAGCCGGCACCGGAGTTTCAAAAGCCTCGATAGATTTTGCTGCATCTACTTAATTCTGAATAGAATCACTTTGAAAAAAATACATATAAATACTTTCATAACACGTCAGGAAAAAGCTACAACAGAACTAAAGCATTTTAGAGGCTGAGCTATGGAAAACATAACTGTCACCTGTTGCCTCTGGAAAGGGCTGAAATGAGCCGGGGATTTGGGACAACAGGACGTAAGAGGGTCAGGGGAAGCTGGTGCCCCAGTCCTTGGCACCCGAGCAGTTTGCATGTGTAAAGTGTATGAAGAAGGACGATGAACCGTAATGCAGACAACCCTTCCATGCTCTTAAAGTATCCCTCTTAGGGAAAAAAAAAAAAAAAAAAAGTGGATTTTTTAAATTTCTGAAGTTCACTGAAAATGAAAGTCTAGGCCCCAGCGACGGTGCACCCTTAAGCTTCCCACAGCGTCTTCTCGGGACTCCACCAACTGCCCCTATGGCTCCCAGCCACGCGGTCTTCCTGCTGGCTTCCATCAGACTCAAACAAGTGCCTGCTCGTCCAGCTCCAAAACACAGTCCCAGCCCCACTCACCCTGCACCAGGCCTAAGAGCCTCCTTGCCTTACAGACAAAGCAGTGTGTGCAGAGGTGACACTGAGCACCCGCCTCCCATCCCCTCCAGTCCATTCTCAGTGGCATCCGTGAAGCCGCTGGTGCTGGGGTCTCCTGCCACCTCCCCAGCCCGGCATTAGCCTCCGGCCACAGAGGAGGACCGGACCCCTCCACAGTGGGACGTGCTGACCACAGCATCCGATTCCCACCAGCGGCTTCCGTGACATCCCGCTGCCCCGTGTCCTCTAAACCCCAACTCCTTCTCAGCTTCCCTCCCTCCATCTGTCCCCGCCCCTAAACGCTGGTCTTTGTAGAGCTCGGCTCTGGGTTCTCCTTTTCACCAGAGGGCTTTCCGGGAAAATCCCAGCCACCCTTGCATCCCGGTTAACGCCCCGATGCTCCTGCCCACCATGGCTCTAGCCCAGACTCGGCCGATGCCCCACCAAGTCATAAGACTGCCTCCTGGACTGAGAGAGGCCATAAGCATGACGCCAGCACCAGACCCTGGTCACCTGTGCACCTGCCCCCACCCCCGGGGGCTCTCGGCTGGGGTCCTGTCAGCACGTGAAGGCAACCCAAACCCCCAATGGCCCAAGCCAGACCCGGGAGCCACCCTGGATCCCTCCTACTACCCACCCTTCTGCCGTTGGCAGCCCACCTTCCCACGACCTCCTGCCACCTGCTCTTTGCTCCCCAATGCTGGCCACCGCCAGGATCCTATGGGGGGCCCAGAACACTTCCCCTTCTCTGGTCCTCTACACACACCTCTTGCCCAGCCTCTTCACAATGGCCTCAGGAGCTTCCAAAAGTATAGATCTCACTAGAGGACATCATGTAAATGACCCACCAGGGCCTTCCTGTGCCTTTCATAGCCCAAGCTCCCTACAGTGGCTGACAAGGTGACCTGGCCACCCCAACCTCGGGCACTGCTCTTCTCACCTGCCTTGAGAGGCTCTCAGCCTCACCCCTTCCTATGGGTGTGTGAGCACACTGCGCTGTCCCAAGCCACATCGCTTCCTGAGACTTGCCGCACTGAGAACCCTGCCCAGCCCCGAACCGGCACTCCACCAGAATTACTGCACAACTCCCAGCATGCTGGTCTGTGGTCATTCTGTTGTCCAGCGTGTCATAGCATGATAACAAACGGCCACGTCTCATGTCCTCCTGCCTTCCTACCTTCCCTGAGAAGTAGCTCACACTTCACAAACCATAACTAAATTCTGGAAATAAGAAGTCCTGACCATCACAGACACACCAGCCCCATAAACCAATGTGGAAGAGAATCATGTCCAGCTTCTCCAGTACGATCCTTACTTGGGTAACGTTTAAGCACAAAACATGGATGATTTTTAATCATTTATACAATGGACATACCAAAGAGAGAGGAGAGTCCCGATGTTGAGTGATAACCTTTAGAATTTCAAACATAAGGAACAATGAGAATATATTGTTGGGGGGCGGTAATCACAATGTCATTTTAAAACTTCTGATTAATTTTGTGGGCATTTTCATAAATAAAATACTTAAAGAATAAATATACACGATTAACACTGAAATGTTAATGTATACATTCAGATTTTTTATACATGAAGATTTCTTCATAAATGTGCTGTTTTGCTTGAATAAGAAATCTGCGCCATTAGGAAAACAACCTAAGTGTCCACCAACAGATGAATAAAGAAGAGGAGTGCAGGTAGACACAGACACAAATATGCTTATGTACATTTATTTACACACACACACACACTGGGCTGTTACCCTCCGTGAGATGTAAGGAAATCCTGCCACTACCAACAACACGGATGGACCCTGCGGGCCTCCCGCTCAGTGAGATAAGCCGGACGTAAAAAGACAAATACCGCACACACGGCCTGTATGAGAAATCTAAGAGCAAAACAGAACACTGGTCAAGTCCTCCATGCGGGCAGGGAAAGCGGCCGTGGGGGCGGGGAGTGAGCGCAGGTTGGCAGAAGGCCACAAACCTTCAGCTATAGCATGAGCCCGGCCCACAGACCTCACTGAAATGCAGCGACCCCAGTAGGAACACTAATGCGTAATGAAATTCGCTGAGAGACAAGATCTTAACCGTCCTCACCACCACCAAGGGGACCGTGTGGAAGCCGACCATCTAGACGGTGGGGCCCGTCACGATGCGTATGCATGTTAGGTCACCGCAGTGTGCACGGATATTCCTTACAATTTTATGTCACTTATACCTTCACAAAGCTAAAGTTAAAAAAAAAAAAAGAAAGAAAGAAAGAAACCTGAGTCACACCAAATATTTTACAAGGTTTAATTTCAGTTTTTAATATCCTGATACAATAGCTAAACAGTAACAGAACTTCCCATGTTCTTCTGCTCCTGTTGCGATGCTTCTCAGTGTGCTGAGGTGGAGACGGGTGTGGTAGCGACGGAAGGAAACGGTGCTCGTGTGAGTAACCTGCGAGGAAAAGAAAACCATTAGAAAGATCTGTGGCAGAACCAGTGGCTCCAACCGCAGGCAGAGGGGACGAGAGTGCACTTACCGCTGGGGTCCCAGGTGACCTCACCCCAAGGGCGCATCAGGGAAACTGAACCGTCTTCTGCAAACCCAAACAGCAAGACATTAGCAGAGTGCCCGCGCTTCAGGGTCCCAGCAGCTGACATCACAAGCGGGGCTGGGGAGGGATGTGAACAGCAGGGTTACCGGGACGACAGACGGAGGGCTCACACTTGCACGGGGCTGGTCTGACTGCACACACCGTGTCCTTCAACCCTGCAGCTCCCCAGCCCCCTGGCCTCGCTATTGCCTCCAAGCAGCTTCCATGCTGCACCCCTCCCCTTCCTGTGGCCCCAGCATAGGCCGCAAGCTACTGCACCTGCTGTGGCTGCTCACTGTTATCAGGAAAAGTGGCCACTCTCAGAACAGCTGCACCCCATGTCTCCTGTATCCCTCTTCCCTCTTCCTAACAACATCAGTTAAAACAGCAGTCAGAACTCATGAAGTGTGGCTGTAGTGTTAGTGGCAGGAGAGGTGGCTGTGCACCAGGCAGGACCCAAAGGTCGGGGAGGATTTTCCATGCTCCCCATGCGAGTACACTGGGGCCAGGATTCCACACTTGGGGCTGCCTGCCTCTCCTGACGCACTGGCCACTTCCACCAGAGGGTCCATCGCTGAGTCATCAGGACAGCTCTCTGTTCGCAGACTCGCTTACGTCACAGGAGCCTTACTGTCTAGGTGTCCCTCCTCCAACTAGAAAATGAGCTCCTCTGGAAAGGACCATATGTTAAGAATCTCTGCCATCCCAGTGCCTGGCACGCAGCAAGTTCAGAGTGAAGGTTTGCTAAACAGACAGGGACCCGAGAGAAAAGCATCACAAACAGCCTGGAGGCCAGGTCTGCTGCAGCTCGAGTGGCACAGGATGCGGTGCAGATGGGCAGTGAGGCGGGGCTAGGAGCAGAGGACAGGGAGCAGGGGGCTGCTCCTTAGAAAGCCACGTACGCCATAACGTGAGAATGTTCTCCGAGAAGCCAGTTAGGGCTGACAAGCTCTTGAAGACAGGTTTTCCCCTGGAGACAGAGCCCACAGAATGGAGACCCCACCTCAGGCCTATTTCTGGGTTCAGGTCATTATAATCATGGCTGCACATGTGTACCCACACGCAGACACGTAAGTACAAACACACGTGCGTGTAAACACACGAGACGCATAAACACGAGATGCGTAAAGTGACTGTATTTCTGCTTGTGTGTGCACATGCGTGTGCACTTGCACAGGTGCACACGGAGAGAGGCGGAAGCACTGCAGATCTGGAAAGAAGCAGAACCTTAGAAAATGTCGACGCCTACGTCACATGCCTCCTGAATTCCAACAGTCGGCCCGGTCACCCAGACTGCACCCCAGGACTGCACTCCTGGCTTCTCTCTCAGTGCAAGGACCCACACCGTAGGACGGGAAGCAGGTCAGTCCTTAATCTCAACAGCGGGGGTGCTAGGGATCAGTGGTCCAATCCCCTGAGATGCAGGACACTGTCCGAGGCTCATCTTGCACAGGTGAGTTCTGGAAAATTGCATGGTGACCTCTACCCCTCCTGCATGGGCACAGAAAACAAACCCACAGCACTGCTCCCGTCCCCATCAGCGTGCAAGAGCATGGGTCACCTTGTCACTCGGTTCTGCCTGCAACCCCACACACCAGCAGGAGAAAGTGATTTGTTCAAAGGACACAGGGCCCCCTGAGGCACCCATGTCTCTGCGGTACGACGGGGAAGACCAATGCCCACAGCTGCTGTCGCCAAGGGGACCTGGTAACGCACGAGAGAAGCTCAAGCATCTCTCATGGGGGAGTCAACGTCCACTGAGAGCTCAAGCCACAGGGACCTCATCCCACCCAGGCTGAACACATGCTGTGCCTGCCTTGCCCCACGGCAGCTAGATGGAGGTAAATAAAGACCAGTGGCTGGAGGTCAAGAGAAAGAGAGACAATAGCCCACAGCCATCCCCATTCATAATAAGGAGCAGGCAGCCACAAATTTGCTGAGCACCTTGACAGCAACCTGTTTATGAAAACGGTAAAGTCTGAGCACCTGCAGATGGAGGGACTAAGCAGTATCTGAAAACAGGAACGCACACGCGCTGCCGCGGGAGCAGGACAGCCCCCCACGGTCCGGGGAGAACCTCAGGGACACGCGTTATGGCAGGCAGGTGGCTGGGTGCAGGAGAGTTGGTGCAGACGGGGATCCTGCTGGCAACAAAACCACAGTGCACGTTGGGGGGCCTTGGCCAGGCCCGTGTGGGCGGACGAGAACCTGCCATGTGCACGCTTACAGTCAGTGCCCCACTGAGAATGCGGGTCAGTCATTTCCAGTGCATCGTCCTGTCGGGTCGGAATGGGTCTGCGACCCATGACCGCGGATAGGAAAGCACGCCCAGCCTGAACACCCCCTCCCCAGCCAGTAACAGCCACAGAGCCAGGCAGGTGCGAAGGAACACCTTCCATCAAACCCTCCCAGATGAGATTCTACTTTGTATCTTCAGATACCCTGACCTTTCTGGAAGTGAGTCAGGACACACTTTCTAGAAAGAATCATCCAGAATTTAAGAGAACTCCTTATTTGTAGAAGCTAACATCCAGATGTGACCATTGCACTTTGGAAGTGGCCCCCCCGACACGCTCATCTCCTCAGAGGGTGTCTGTCCCTCGTCCCCTGGGGTCCACACTAAATGGTGCATCTCTCAGTGGCACTGTGTCCTTGGAAAGCGGGAAAGCCAGTGTCACACGGACACCTGGGAAGGAGTACTTGGTGCCTCGGTGCCTCAGTCATGATGCCGGCCTGAGGCCCCTTCTCTGTGCACAGCAACCATGCGCCAGTCACAAGCCGCTCACAGGGACAGCCCCCGATACCCCCTCCATGTGGGCAACACCTGAACGCCCGCTCAGCTTCGTGGGTTTCAGTGGGAACAGACAAGCCTTCTTGAAGAACTTCACTGCCAGCGGGAAAAGAGCATCTGCGTTTGCATCGGATTCTCTGCCCCCAAGGCTGAGGGAACCTTGCGGGGGGTGGGGGGACAGGACAGGGCTCAGGCACCTCACACCTTGTTCTGGACTCACCCCTGCACCTCCCGGTCACCAGCCACCAGTTCAGTCACTGGGACTGCATGGCTTCCCCCAACACATGCAACCCTGCCACACCAGCAGGGACTCAGGGAGGGAGGTGTCCCAGGAGGCTGCCGGAGACAGGCACAACAGGGAGCCAGACAGTGATGGGCCCACAGGGCCCACCACAAGGAGAGAACACAGCACGCGCCCCAGGCCCCACGCTGGCCGGGCTGTTACAGGCACAGAGTCAAGAGACTCCACGGGGTCCGCAGCCTCTCCCACAGGAAACAAACGCTCAGAAAAATCATCTGACCTTAAGTCTTATGAACTCTGTGGTTGAGTTCTCACCATTTTACAGAATTATTTGTCTCGTTATCTCTCTTTATCCTATCGTTTTTCCCAGGCCTCTGGCTGCCTGAGGTCGAGACAGCCAAGACAGGTTTCTGCCTGCCCACCATCTGTGGGTCTGTAATAAGGGGAAAGTCACTCTGAAAACTAGCCCAGGGCTGTGAGCTGCACTGGAAGGCTATTCCCCGCTGCCAGCAATAACGTCTCTGTGTCAGACAGGCGCCCCGACCGCGCCACACTCCCAAGACCATTCCCGCCATCAGGAAGCAGAGGGAGCCATTTCAACTGCTCTTCCCTGAACAAACACAAGATACAAGAGACTCTGTATTCTGTGCCTGGTGGCGTACTGATCTCTCTTTGCCTGAGAAAAGTCAGCAATTCCACACATCAGGACCCTTCCTACGAAGCCTCTTCCCGCTAGAGGAAGTCCTTAGACGCTGCATACCGGCCACCCCTACCTGTTCCCAGAGCAGTGAATACAGACTCTAGAAACCTAACGCCATCATGGGGAGGAATTCTAGGATAAGCCAGTAAGGATTTTCACTCTAGATCAAACACTTCCTTACCAGCTGACTGTGGTAAACTTTTTTCTACCTGCGCCTTGCAGCCTCTGCATCCAGGATAGGTACAGACTAGCCGTGGGCCCTCCTGCGGTAGGTTCTGGTGACCACTCAGCCTGCTCTCAGGGACCCTGACCAGCCAGCACGTGAGTGGGGGTGAGGCGGGTGGACGCTGGCCCCGTGGAGCTGCACGGACTCACTCCTCCAGCAATCCCGAGTCTGCAGCAGACTATGTTCTGCACCTCAAGTGTGGACCCTCTGGTCCTGCAAACCCAGAGCTGGATGCAAGTGCTCTCCTCCATGCCTTGTGAGCTCTGGAAGGACTCTCCCGATGGTCAGAGAACCAGCCTCATTTATGCCTAAGACAGTTTGATTGGGTTTTGGTTCCTTTGAACTCGAGGACTCCTAAGATCAGGGTATGAGCAGTACGACTCCGGTGAAGGCCTACTGTGCAAGTGACACTGGAACTAGCACCCCCGGGTCTCAGACACACGCCAATGGAGCCAACCCATCACACGGTCACAAGTCCTAAGACCCCCACCTGTTCTCTGACTCAGTGCAAAATGAGGGGAGACCGTGTGGGTGAAGCTTTCCCAAAACTGTGGCTGGCTACGTGGAAGTCCTTGCTCCTAGAGGATGGACCAGAGCACTGCGCTCAGACAAAGAAATCAGAGAACAAACACTTGCAGATGGAGAGAAGCCCGCCTTCAGACTCCTCGGGGAGTCTGAGCACCTGACAACACAGGTTCTTCTGGGCTCTGCTAACAATTCCTGGCCATGCTGTAGCATGCCTCCTCGCCTCCCACCACAACTGGCTACTCTGGAGGCCAGAACCTTCTTCGTAATGGGATGGTCTCCCTGTATTTCTAAAGCAGACAAATGAACAAGTTCAACTACTTGCAAGACCATCCACAGAAGCTGTTCCACTATTCAAATGCTTGAATAATTGTATAATTTACTTTTTACTGGAAAACGATGCACGGACGCTACAGAAGTAGTTCCACATCCCTCTCTCATTCATATCTGTGTCTGTGTCCTGATCAGTGTCTTACATGTTGACGAGAGAAATACTGTGTTTCCATCCCCCTCCAAGCATGCACACAGGCTGTCCTGGAAGGAGGACCTGGGGGAGAGTCTGTCCCCTGCAAGGCATCAGCGCTCATGACCCAAGGCCCAGACGTCATTGGCTGGATTGCCAATCCTACCTCTGTCCCTAGCTCGGCAGGAGCAGCAGGTGAGAGAGTACAGCCTAAACATAAACTCCACTCATTCCTATAAGCACACCGAAGCAAACTCTAGAGTAATCAGGATCCCAAGGAAAATAAGCCACATCCCCTGCAGACGTGGGGATTACTAACTCACCTTCATGCCCAGAAGCGGCCTCCACCAGCAGATGAGGACGGCAAGCTGCTCTCGAACCCTGTCCACAGAGGGCAAACGTTACACTCAAGACACAGAGAGAATTCTCTTTTACATAAGATTCTGGGCGAAAATCTTACTTTGTGGAGTTGTCCTGGGTGGTGATACTTTGCAGGGGAGACACGCTGGCCTGGGGACCATCACCTCAAATCTTGGCACATGAGGGAGAGAGGTTTCTGTGTTCCAACACCAAGGTGCCACCCGTAAGCACACGTGAGAAGGCAACATGACGTGGCGTTTCTCAGGGAGGAACGTGGTTCCTATTCACTATAAAAGAATAACGCCTGCATGATAGTGAGCAGTCACAACAGGGATGACAGGACCTGCACACACTCAATGACTCTTCCAGACAGGACAGGCCAGGAGCATGTGTAATGGGACTGACCTGCTCAGCGGCTTCCTCCTGGGCTTCGAGAATATCCAGCACCCACGAGCACCGCGTCCATCTCCCCGCCAGGAGTGTCGGACCCGCCTTCCCACCGCTCTTCACACCAGCTACTCCAGCTGTGCCAGTGTGCGGTGGCTCACGCGGCACTTCACGGTTTGGAAAGTAAATCACACACAACAAGGTACCAAACAGTTCTTTCATGGGCAAGAACATGAGATCTCAAATGGTGCTGTTTTAGCTGAAGTGACCGTTGAAATGTGTCCCCTTTGAAGTAACAAAATACTTCCATGAATAAGGTCTGGAATAAAGTAGCCAATTAATATAAAACTTATGGATTTGGGTTAAATATCGTGGGTTAAATTACGTGATGTAGAAGTCTCCAACTTGATTGTGAGGACGAATTCACCTTAATTTCCTACAGCCCAGTTTGTGCAGAGCAAGGCAGGACGAGAACCACAGCCTCTGGGGTCTCTGGCTGCTGGGGCTGCTGGGGCTGCTGGTCGACCCAGCACGGTAGTGTGCGCATGCTTACAGAGCACCCAAGAGCCGCAGAGCTGACCAGCAGGACACTGATGTGATGTCTTTACCGGAGAACTTCCCAACCTGATGCAAAACAGACCCACAGGCAGATACCAGTGGTCACATGCAGTGCTCGAGCTCCCCCCTTCGGAGCCCGGCTCACTTACACACTCGCACCCACCTGTATCAGTGAGAGGAGAGCGCCCTAACCGTGTGAGCACATGAACCAGAGCAAAGCATGGCCGCATAGAGGGGCAGTGAGGACAGGGTCAGGCGTTTGCTGTAAGAGCCCTCGAGAGAACATTCTCTGCTCCAACCATCCCTGTAGCAGGAAAACAGCCCCGGGCAACACGAAGCAATGGGTGTAGCTGAGCCCTGGTAAAACTTTCTTCACAGAACAGGCAGGAAGACACAGACTGCAGTTCACTGGCCCTGAACTCGGGCCATCTGCGGGCTGGGTTAGGATGTGCCTGTGCTGTGCAGAGATGGAGGAGGGCACATGCCCAGCAGAGGTGGGTGCGGGGACGCTCTCCAAAGACCTGGTGTATGGACACCCTAGGAGACACAGCGAGACAAGTCACCACTGGCGCCTAGACATAGCGGAGAGGGACAGCACCATCGTCTGTTTTCTTGGCAAGGACATCCCAGCACGTCCCATGTCAGGGCCACTGGTGACCGGCGTGAACAGTGTGTGGGAGTAATGCAAGGGACCCCTGAAACAGAGACATCAAACACCTACCTGCTCCCACCCCTTCTGATGCTTCTGCCCTCTTGGAAAGTCCTGTTCCTCCCCTCACGGGCTCATGTCCAGCTGCATTCAAGACCAAGGTCCCACCCAGCCCCAGGGATCACACTGTGAGCTCGTGCCCGCTGGGACTCAGCAGGATCCCATCTCAGCCCCGCCCACCGGCACGCCAGCCTCTGCCATCCTCTCTGGCTCTTTCGTCGGTGCATATGCTTTTTCTCATCAGTTTACAAGAGGCTGCAAAGCTCTGCTGTATTCCGCATGCGGGACTACCTAGTAGGCATTTTTTTTATTAATTTTATTTTTTTAAACATATATTTTTATCCCCAGGAGTACAGGTCTGTGAATCGCCAGGTTTACACACTTCGCAGCACTCACGATAGCACATGCCCTCCCCAATGTCCATAACCCCACCCCCCTCTCCCACCCCCCTCCCCCCAGCAACCCTCAGTTTGTTTTGTGAGATTAAGAGTCGCTTATGGTTTGTCTCTAACCCTAACCCTAGTAGGCATTTTTAACAAATGCTTAACTTTATCACACCGATGACTTAGTTCCAAATATATACAGGGAGTTTCTAGTTTTCCAGGAATGCATCCATTTCATCTAGGTTGCTTAGCTTATTGGCATGTAACTGTTGATAATAACTTCTGATGATTGTTTTCTGTTTAATTCCAGAAACAGAGGGAACTGTAAGAAGAAAGTGGGCAGGTGTTTAAGCTCACTGGGGACAGAAGACAAACAGCTGTCAGAAGAGCAGGTCACAAGGCAGCAGTTCAAGGTTCAGTGCCAAGAGGGCGCCACGGAGCCCAGCTCCAAGCCCATCGGAGAAGCCCGGGACAGGCTGCACGAGGCAGACCAGCTTGCAGAGGCTCGCCGGGCACCTGGCCCTCGTTCACAGAGCCTGTACAGCGGCCCCAAGGCCCTGTCTCCTCTGAAAGCCGTTCTTCCTGCTCTGAGCCACCCCTGGAACCACTCTCAAATTTATTTTTAAAGATTTATTTGAGAGAGAGAGAGAGAGAGAGAGAGAGGGAGAAAGCACAAGGGGAGGGTCAGAGGGAGAAGCAGACTGCCCACTGAGCAGAGAGGCCAAAGCCGAACTTGATCCCAGGACCCCGGGATCACAACACAAGCCGAAGGCAGTCACTTCACCGAACCCCCCAGGCACCCCCACTCTCGAATTCAGAATGTGTTCCCACGTCCATCTACACATGACAAGCTAAAGAACAAGAGAAACCCCCTTGACAAAATTCACACAAACCCGTATGCGAAACCGTGTGTCACCAGCTCCCAGCTCCTTGTCAGTGACTCCAACCCCCAGGGCCACCTGTCTGAGCTTGCTGTCCCGCCTGTATTTACACCCAAGTGTAAATCACACCCAAGTGCTTCCCATTTGGGATTTCTGAGGTTTTAGTCAAGTGTCACTGGGGGCTATTAGAACAAAAAGTCCTCGAGACCGTCAGGAGCTTATTTTGCAGGGAGAAAAGCAGTGAGTAAGGCAGGGAATTGGGGAGATATTTTTCTGAGGTTCCGCAAATCAAACCCCTGAGGTGGCTGCCTCCTAGCTAAGCCCTCCCACTCACAATTTCTGTAAAAATCTCACTAAGCTCCACTGAACATCTTTACCAGAATAGGAGCCGTCGGCTACCTGCGCGCGCGTACATGGGTGTTTATAGCCAGACAGCTGGTGCGTAACCGAATAAAAGATATTCTTAATAGTCTGTTGAATATAATTCTTCAGCTCGTGGACACGAACCACAAGAAGAACTGCAGTGAAGCCACAACACTCCTTTTTTTAATTTAAAGCAGTATCTGGAAACTTGCTTTGAAAGACAAATTCCACATTTATCCTTTAGTTGCGTGAAATCAAGTGCGCAGAAATGCAAGCATCCTAAGGGCTTGTTAGTGACAAACCCACGTCCAGCACAGTCTCCTGTAAAGCTCCTGAGAAGAGGGATGGGCCTTTGCTATTGATTATTCTCTAGTTTAGAGAACAATCTCTAAAATGAGTCTCACTTTCCCTTGCAAGTGCCGGGGTTCTGTAAGCAAGGACTACACGCCTCAAGACACAGGAGACGTGGCCTATTTTGCACGCGGGGCAGGCTGGAATGAATGGGGAGCAGGGAGCTTGGGCTCTTTACAGTGCGAATTCCTAGCGGAAGAAAACAAACCCCTGAGTTAAATAGGGGTCATGACTGCCTGCCACTGACACGGACTGTCCCGCTCTATCCACTTCCTGTGCGACGGACTCCGGCTGGGGGAACACGCGGCACAGACGGCTCATGCCCTCCCTCCAATGTAGATATCCCCTCACCATTCATCCTTAAAAAATACCGCAGCGCTTCCGTCCAGGTCTGCTTCAGGCATTAACTCCAGATAACGGTCACATTTTCGACAGTTAAATCCTCCTTCAGAACGTCTACTCAGCGCTCCTTGGGTCAAGTGAGCCATTACAGAACAGCCAGCCCTGCTCATCACCCAGGGAGCTCACACGATGATAAAACAGAAACCGGGTGGATTCTCGATACTCACGTAGACTGGGCCTCAATTAACTGAAGGTGAATCTATTTCATGAAGGCAGGAGGAGTGAGCGTGGGGGACAACAGGGCCGGGCAGGCAGGGAACTTGGGGGGCGTAGGCCCCTTGAGGGGGCAGCACGTGTTACAGTGAGGACAGCCGCTGGGCCAAAATGAAGAGGAGGCTGCGATGCTCGGCTTTGCACGTCCGCAGCTGCAGCAGGGCCCCCCATGCCAACAACGCGTACCCCCTAAAGCCCCACAGAAACAAAGGAGGTGAGATTACAGCCACATCCCCCTGAGGGTCTCGGGGGGTCCAGGGACGGAATGTGAGCAGCCTTCCTGCCTCATGCCCTGGGGCCCTCGGCTCCCTGCCCTCCCCTGCTCCTCGCTGGCCTCTGACGAGGCTGTGATGGTTGTGAGGCCTGTGCTCTCGCTCATACCTTTTCAAAGTGTAGCTGAGTGTTCACTTACTCAAGATGTACAACCAAAGGGGAAAGGAGAACTGTTCCCACTAACAAAGGCACACCGCATTAAGCATCTGGTAGGATTTCGAGTTATGTTTTTATGTGTTATGCTTTGTCTCACGTGGGAACAGCGAGCCATCTAAATTACAACGAATCAATAAGAAAATACGATTTTACATACAAATATTCACTGTTCCCTTTTCAAGAATATAATTCTTATTAAAAGTTGTTACAAATGACTATAATATGATCATAATTATGTTAAAATCACACAATATAATTAGTAAAAGTCTTCAATATCTCAGGGCTTTGTACACATTAATACATACAAGTTGAAATATAAATGTGCAAAAAAAAGCTAAAATAGTTCATCATCCTCATAGAAACTAATGGTGATCCATTTTGCAAATGACCTTCTTAAATTTTTGCAATAGTTCTAAATGGTAACTGGAATTTACATCTTGATCAAAATCTTGACCCTCAATTTTAAAAATACCTCCTAATTTCAGAAGTAAAAAGTCTGATGGTGAGATAGATCAGAATCTGGCTTTGCTTAACCAATTTGGATGAAAAATAGATAATACTTAAAAGTTTCTTCTAGCCTGGAGAATATATGTTGTTTTCAACTAATTACATGAAAGCATGTGCTCACGGCTTCCCTAACTTATCAGACTGCAGGGAACACATCAGCTCCCATACATGGGGCACCTGATTACCAGAGAGACAAGGCTTCTTCAAAAACCAAGCACCAGAAAATGTGTACCCCATCATTACAACACATTTTCTCTTTTAAAATGCCTTTGCTAAAAAAAATCTGAGAAACACAAATTCTCTTAATTCAGAGCTCAAAATAAACCAAAACTCTGTTCC